ATCTACTCAGTTTAAAAGGCCGGAAGAACAGAACTGAGGTTTCCCTGCAGACAGGGAGGAAGAAATCCCACCTGTGGACGGCAGCTTCGGCTCCTGCCTGAGAGTTTCCAGCCTGCGCTTCCTGATGGCCAGCCCTACAGACTTCAGACTTGACTATCCAGCCCCAACAATCATGTAAGCCAATTTCTTTCAATAAATCCCTTAAAAATTACATATACATATATCTCCTACTGCTTCTGTTTGACTGGTGGAACCCTGACTGATAACATTATCCTTAAAATCAGAACAAAACAATACCCTGCTTGATTCTCCATCCTACTGTTACTATATGAACTGTCTTCCCTTCTCATCTAAGCTTTTAAAACATCCGATAATCACCATCTCTACTTCCTCTCTGCAATCACCCCTGAGCTATAGTCCCATTTATTCATCTGGTGAATCGGACATATTCTTGTGGACATCCCACGGGCAACCTCAAACTCAGTACATCGAAAGTTACCTCATTAACACTGCCTAAATCCACTTTTCAATGATATCTCACAAACTCAAGGTAAAAATCTGGAAGTCATACTAGATACCTAACTATCTAAATACCAGACATCCAAATAAGTCATACTGTCCATCTGCAGAGCCAGTGTCTGAACTGAGTCCCTCATGATGTCTTGCCTCAGCTTTTGTAATACCGTACCTCCAGCCTCATCTTTAAGTCTGTTCTCCAGTGTGCTCCTCCTCTGATGCAAGGTGACTGAAATTGCCCTGCCTGACTCAGTGACTCCTTTATCACCTACGGCAACCCTGACCACCATCACAACGTGCTTTAAAAAACACAGATTAGAGTCCTACTCAGACCTAATGAATTCAAATTTCCAAAGTGGGGCCTGAATACTATTTTTAAAAGCTATCTGGGTAGTTCTGATCAGCCAGATTCAAGAACCACTGGTCTTCAGGGTAAAATCCCAATTCTGCCCATGATCTGACACCACTACTCCCAGCTTCATCCCGCAGCACATCATGCTCCAGCGACACTTACCCAGCACAGGTGCGTCTTCCAGCCCATGCTGATGAACACCTCTCACCAGTTTNCCCAGCACAGGTGCGTCTTCCAGCCCATGCTGATGAACACCTCTCACCAGGAATGTCCTATTTCCTTATCTGCCTGGGAAAAAACTATTCTTCAAAGACTCTATTCAAGCACCATCTGGTCTCTTATTCTGCCAGTGAGTATTGATAAACTCATGAAATTGGACACATTAAATAGGTGTGGTTCTTCGTATATCAATTATACCTCCATAAAGCTGTTAAAACTTATTGAGGTGCTACTATATGCCAGGCTCTGAGCAAAGCATTGATAGAAAGATCGGTAAGCTAGTGCTGCCTTCAGTAAACTCTCATGCCACTGGAGGATACATACAAATATACAATTTAATACAACAAAGTGAGGTAAATTTTGTGAGAGTCTGTGGTAGGCTGAATAATGCCCTCCCTCAAATAATGTCCACATCCCCATCCCCAGAATCTGTGAATATATTACTTTACATTGCAAAACAGATTTTGTAGATATGATTAAGTTTAAGATTCTGAGATGGGGAGATTATCCCATTATTTTGGTGGGCTCAATATAATCACTAGAGTCCTTTTAAGGAGGCAGGCAGGAGGGTGAGAGAGAGGGTGGAGGGAGGCTGGAAGATGCTATGCTACTGAGTTTGAAAGTGGAGGAGGGAGGCATGCACTGAAAAATGCAGGTGGCCCTTAGAAGCTGGACAAAGCAAGGACGTGAATTCTCCACTAGAGCCCCCGTACGGAGCCAGCCCCGCTGACTCTAGTCCAGTGAGACTGATGTTGGACTTCTGACCTTCAGAAATGTAATGTAATGATTGTATTGCTGGTTTTAAGTGATTATGTTTGCAGTAATTAGTTACAGCAGGAACGGGGAGCTAAAACCGAGGCCAACACGGGGCACTGCAGCAGTGCCTAAGTGGCTCTGGAGCGGGGAGGAAAGCTCGGGAAGAATCAATCACCAGAGGCGGTGACACCGGAGCCGAGGAGNGGGCACTGCAGCAGTGCCTAAGTGGCTCTGGAGCGGGGAGGAAAGCTCGGAAGAATCACCAGAGGCGGTGACACCGGAGCCGAGGAAGGGAGGCTGTGCTTCAGGACGGCCCGGGCGGAGCAGGCACGAGGCGCACAGGGCGCGCGGGACGCGTTTCAGTAAGGCAGTGCTGCTTGCATTAAACATTAGGGATAGTGTCAACAATATTAGTTCTGGGAAATGTTTATTTGTATGCCGGGCACTGTTCTAAAGCATTTACAACTCTGAGGTGCGGACTATCATTGTCTTCCTTTTACTACAGGGATACTAAGGTTTAGAGGCGGTAGGTAACTGTCCTGAAACCACAGAGCCACCGGGCAGAGCTTCCATTAGCGCCTTGGCGCTGCGTCTCCAGAGCCCACGAAGTGCCCGCACCCACGGCCACAGGCGCCCGGCGGCTGGGAAGGCGCCCCAGCGCCGAGGCCGAGC